AAAAAATTAATTTCTAGCAGAAAATTCAATTTTCGCAGAATTTCACTGAACAAATTTCGCGATGTCGAAATTAAATGGGATAGAAAAGTGTTCCTAAACTTTCAATATTGTATCCAATGAGTCATTGAATTTTCTCCCGTGTTCGACTATAGCGACAACCCCTGAATCTCGAGCTACTTAACGTTCCAATCTAATTCCAACAATGCACTTTTTGGATGATTTTATTAAATATAAAATTAATAGATTATAGTACTATTAGACAAATTTCAATTTTGTTTTAATGGTTTTGTAAATTTTAAATATTTAATAGGAAATTAATTTATTAAACACAAAATTAAAAGTTTAGAAATTTAATAGATGTAGTTTTGAAATTTCTTCAAGTTAATTTAACCTCAATTGTAAGTTGTTCTAATATCGTCAATTTTATTTAACGAGTAAAGATGAATTTGGTCTAACTCATAATTTAATCATTTTTTAAATAGGTATAAAATATATTTTTTTTCATAAAAATAACTGTAATTAAAATATTTCGGTGTTTGACTAAGTCGTATAAAAAGGTATAATCCAGTAATTTATTTGGTGGCATTACATCTAAAAATAATTATACAAATACCACTTTATCCTAATGCAGTGTTTTATAAATATTTTTTTAATAATCAACTTAAAAAAAAATTATGAACCAATTAGATTATTTCGTGTATGTTTAACAACACATCCTTTAAATATTTAATACGTGCATCCATAAAAACAGGACATGTGGTCCGAGTGGGTTATTGTACATGTTTGGCATGTCATAACGTGTTCAAAATATCTATAAATATTTCAGATATGGCTTTCCATAACTATCTTAGCTTTATTTTCTAATTAATTAATAATTATGTTAAAAAATATTTTTAGTTACTTTAATTGAAATGATAACTTAGCCTCCATCTATAATTTAATYATAATTTAAAGTTTGTCACGATTTAGTCAATTTTATAAGAATTTTTGTGAAGTGTTTTTAGATATATAGATTGACAAATCGATGAGAGACCAATGTATTTATAAATCCTGAAGACTATATCATAACATGATAAATTTMAAAACTTAATTTTTTTTAATTTTTAATTTTATGAACTGAATTGTTACATCTTAAAGTTCAAGAACTAATTTTTTAACAATTTGAAAGTACAATGACTAAATCGTTACAAACGAAAATTTAGGGACTAAGTGGTAAAAGTACATCGATCTAATAACTATAATTTTTCATCTTCTTACCGTAAAATTTCAAACTTTATCCACACATATGAGATTTTACTGTTACAAGACATTCAATAATAGACTCAAAATAAACTACCGATCCAACTTATCGTGGAGTAAAATTTCCTTCCTATAAAGGAAAGCAAGAGAGAAGGACTATAGGAMAATAAATATAATAATTGAGCTTATAATACAGAGGACCCAACAATACAATCTCTAGCTAAAGATAGAAATCTACTCACGAGCATAAAAGTAAAAGGTCGTCAAATCCACCTTATTTGAGGTGAGCGGTATTCGGTAGATCATAGAACTCATGGATGGAATCTCGTGAAAACAATGAACACTCAAATTAACTTTTAAGTCATTTAATTTCAACTTTAGTTCATTTTTATTAATGTTATTTTAAGTGGTGGTTGTTGATGGTGTGTGTCTTTTTATCTTTATTTTATCTTTATTTTATTTTAGTTTATATACTTTGCAAACGTTTGTCTTGATTATAGGGGTATTTGACAGACAATTCATCGTTACTACTCACCAAAGGCATATTTGATTCAAAATTCATCGGTAAATACCTATCGCGACGGAGTTATGCCACAACGTTTTTTCATTTTGGGAAAGAATTTTGCCAACGAAATATTTAGCTATAGCGACTATTTTACGTGTAGGAAAAAACTCAAATTACTTGTAGTGGTTCTAGTATTTTTGAAAATTGACCATGTAGTCTATATTTACAAAATTTTAACACAAGTTATTTACACAGCATAACGACATCCTTTAATACAAAGCTATGATTAACTTTTTAAGAAGTTTATTGAATATAGTGTCGTGTAATCTAAAAAAATGAGATAACAAATAAAATAAATTAACACAAATAGTCACTTTCTAAAACTACAAAGTTTAAAGTTCACAAACCTATTAATTAAATACAATATTGAAACTTTCATGAAAAAATTTGCCACTTAACCAATTTAGTGTCAAAATATATCAACTAAAATACATATCAAATGCGTTTAAATTATTTTTATACAATTTACTAATATAAAGTTTTTATCCACAATTTATAATTTACTGAAATTTTCATATAAAGTCACCCAACTAAATCCGAAAGTATAGGTTAAAAAATACTTTTGATCCTTGTACTTTCGTTAAAGTAACAATTTAGTCCATAAATTTTAATTTGTAACGATTTAATCCCTGTATTTTAAATTGGTAATGATTTAGTCATTGTAATTTAATGTTGGTTACGATTTAGTTCTTATCGTGAAATTATTTTTGTTAAGTTTTTTATATATAAATTGATAAATGATAGACCAAATATGTTTATAAATTAGAAARATTAAATTGTTATATGATAAAATTTAACACTTAATTTTAATAATTTTTGTTATGATAGAGACTAAATTGTTATAAATTTTAAACTATATAGATTCAGTTGAAATTTATAGACTAAATTATTATTTTAGTGAAAATATAAAAAGTAAAATAAATGTTTCTGCGGTAAARAGTATATCGAAAAGGAGGAAAAAAAACAGATAAAAGAGGATTTGTTTCGAGGATCAAAAAAAAGGAAAGAAATGAGAGGAATTATGGATAAATGAAGAGCCACGTGTCGAGTTGCGATTGAAGGGTGGGGTAGTTTAACCATCCTTCCGGTGCGGTTGGTTCAAGCGCCCAAATAAAACCAACTGCCCCTTCACGTGGTACGGCTGCATAAACCAAACGCAGCCCAACGGATAAAAACAAACCCCGGGCCCCACTTTATTATTATTATTTTTTTACAAAGGTCCCACATGAATTTCATGGTGCATCACAATTTGATCCATTCATTGATCACCCATCTCTACCCCTTTTTTTCCCTCTTATTTTATATATATTTTTCTCGATTTTCTGAATTTATTTAACTTCAAATATTCTATTCTTATCTTTTAAAGCTAAAATAAGCCAGAGGTTTGATTTTTCTATCTAATTTAGATACTTAAGAAAACTTTTTAATAGCTCCTCAGGCTTCTAACCTTTAAAATTTTCAAGGAGAAAATAAAATATAAATTTTGATTTAAGTATGAATCATGAAATAAATAATTGAAATATACCAGAAAGGAATTGCATTTCTTTTGGTTATTTGGACTTTAATTTTATTGTCTTATAAGTCCGTAAATTTTAATTTTGTACGTAGTAGATATTTGACTTAGTCAACAATTTTTAAATTGATTGATCATATTAAACAAAAAAAATTTAATTTATGTTCCATACATCGATTGATATTAAAAAAAGAGTTCAATAGATCAAACACTTGATAGAAACATCCAGTTGAATTATCTAATAGATACAAATTTTAAAATTGATGAATTAAATTTGTAATTAATTATAATAAAATTGTTCAAATAATAAAATAATAAAATCGGTGGAGAAGAAAAAGACCCACGCGGTTCACGTGGGTACAAATAGAAGAGAATGTGGGAAGGGAAGTTGCGTGGTTTAAATGGCTATTGAATAGTTGGGGCCCACACTGTGTTTGATTGCGTCATCACTCTGTCAGATCAGATTATTTTATTTTAATATCATTTTCACCCCATTTTTATTTTTCATCTCCAATAGTCAATTCTACCCCTACTCCATGTTTCCGGTTCCACTTCCYATTCTGTTTCTTATATCTCCGACATAACACATCCGCCGCCCGCCGCCTCTTTCACCCCAACTTTCTTTCCCTAATCAATAATCCATTTCCTATAATTTTAACCAATAAATATTTACATATATACACTTTTTTAAGTTTTTAATAAATTTATTAGTTTAGTTTTCTCGAATTTGCATAACACCGTGATTCCTAAAGATTCATAATAATTTTGAATTGGCTTTTTTTTTTAATACATATTTATTAGTTTTGGTCAAATTATTTATTTTTTAAATTTGGCTTTATAAACGATTCTTCCCATATCCGTTAATCAAATTTCTTTTAATAATTTTTAGAATAGATTACTTTCACAAATTTCTTGAAATAAAAACTCAACAGAAAATTTTACAAAAGAAAATTAAGATTGTGTTTGAAATGGCATGTTGGGCCGCCGGTCGTGCTCAACGAGGCCTTAGGCCCAACAAATTTCCAGCGGGCTCTCGGCCCAAAGTTTGTGGAGTATGAGCTAGCGGGTCTGGCCTATGTGTTTGGATAGCCCGAATAGTTACAGACTATTCAAGGTTTTAGCGAGCCTGGAGGTTGGGCCCAATGATCCAATATGTTTCAGTAGTCGGCCCATTTCAAAGATTGGCCAATATAAAAAGAAATGAATATCCCAGCCCCMAGGTGCATGACTTTTATGCAATTAGTGTGTATTCCATATTATTTTGTTAAGAATTATTAGTTTATTTCAAAATCACTATTAAACGTGTTTTAATAAAATTGCCTATGTTTCAAAATAATAACAATATATTTGCTTAATAAAAACTCAGCTATCTTCGCTCTGTAATTAGAAAATCCTATTTGAATTTATTCGGATGTGTCTTTTTATTACTCAATATTTACTTTATATATATTTTTAAATATGCGAAATACTAAAAATTACAATTATTTTTTTACTAACCTAACCAGTTAGAATATTAGTAACATTTTTTATGGGTAAGGACGCCAAATTGACCAAAAGAATATTTTATTATTTGATTTATTAAAACCTTCAATTATTTATTTATTGAAAGTTTTCAAAATTTAAGTTTTTATTTTTTTATTGGTTTACTAGTACCAGTAGAAGAGTAAGGAAGAAGCTGTTAAACCCAGCCCATATATTTCCCTCCTGCCAACCCAAGCAAAGCCCCTCGCTTCTGTGAATCCTCGATTTCAAACTTCGCAAATTTTGAAAATCCCTTTCGAATACAAATACCCATAATCAAACCCAACTCAAGAACTTCTTGATTCTCTTTCAAATTCCATCTCTTTGGATTTGGGTTCGCATTCAATTGTATGCGCAATGGAATGGAACCCGGAAACCCTACAGCGCCTCTCTCAGTGTTTTCTCCATACTCTTTCTCCATCCCCTGAGCCGCGCCGCAATGCTGAAAAGTCCCTTCGCGAAGCCGCCGACGGCCCTAACTACGCGCTTGCTGTTCTCCGCCTTGTCGCCGAACCCTCTGTGGACGAGCAGATCCGTCAAGCGGCCGCCGTTAACTTCAAGAACCATCTACGGGTCCGATGGTCCCCCGGTGCGCCGGACGACTCCAATGACCCCCCTCCGCCTCCCATCCCCGACTCCGAAAAGGACCAAATCAAAGCCCTAATTGTCCCGCTCATGCTTTCCTCTACTACCCGAATCCAGAGTCAGCTAAGCGAGGCTTTGGCTTTGATCAGCAAACACGACTTCCCAAAATCCTGGCCGTCCTTGCTCCCGGAGCTCATCCTTAGTCTTCAGAAGGYGTCTCAGGCTTCCGATTATGCATCTGTTAACGGTATTCTTGGCACTGCAAACTCTATATTTAAGAAGTTTAGGTATCAATATAAAACCAATGATCTTTTGCTTGACTTGAAATACTGCCTGGACAATTTTGCGGCACCCTTGATGGAAATTTTTCTCAAAACCGCTGCTTTAATTGATTCCGCTGTGGGCTCGGGAGCGCAGGCGGCGGCCCTGCGTCCCCTGTTTGAGTCCCAGAGGCTATGTTGTAGGATATTTTATTCGTTGAATTTTCAAGAGCTTCCCGAGTTCTTTGAGGATCATATGAAAGAGTGGATGAGTGAATTCCGGAAATATCTTACTATGAGTTATCCTCAACTCGAAAATAGTGGCGTGGATGGGCTTGCTTTAGTCGATGAACTTCGTGCTGCAGTTTGTGAGAATATTAATCTTTACATGGAAAAGAATGAAGAGGAGTTTCAGGGGTACTTGAATGATTTTGCTTTAGCCGTATGGGGCTTACTAAAAAATGTGTCTCAGTCATCAAGCCGAGACCACCTGGCTGTTACAGCAATGAAATTTTTGACTACAGTTAGCACCAGTGTACACCACACCTTATTTGCAGGAGATGGTGTGATACCTGAGATTTGTCAGAGTATAGTAATTCCCAATGTGAGGCTGAGGGATGAAGATGAGGAACTCTTTGAAATGAATTATGTTGAATTCATTAGGAGGGACATGGAAGGTAACGATCTGGAAACTAGGAGGAGGATAGCTTGCGAACTTCTTAAAGGCATTGCGACCAATTACAAAAAGCAGGTGACAGACATGGTATCCTCTCAGATACAAAACTTGCTAAGTTCATTTGGGATGAATCCTGCTGTGAACTGGAAAGATAAAGATTGTGCGATATATTTGGTTGTCTCACTTGCCACTAAGAAGGCTGGGGGCTCTTTCGTTTCAACCGATCTTGTAGATGTTCAGAGCTTTTTTGCATCAGTAATCATTCCAGAGTTGCAAAGTTTGGATGTTAATGGGCTACCAATGCTTAAGGCAGGTGCGCTCAAGTTCTTTGCTGTGTTCCGTAATCAGATATCAAAACCTGTTGCATTACAAATGTTTCCTCATTTGGTTCGGTTTCTTGGTTCTGAGTCAAATGTGGTTCATTCTTATGCTGCAATTTGTATTGAAAAATTGTTGCTGGTCAAGGAGGATTCAGGTGTGGCTAGGTATAACTCTATGGACATTGCTCCAGTTTTTCCTGAGATGATGACCAAGCTCTTTAATTCCTTCAAATTTCCTGAATCCGAGGAGAACCAATACATTATGAAGTGTATAATGAGAGTTCTTGGAGTTGCTGACATATCTCGTGAAGTTGCAGGACCATGCATTGTTGGGTTGACTAATATTTTAAATGAAGTGTGCAAAAACCCAAAAAATCCTGTTTTCAACCACTATCTGTTTGAATCGGTTGCTATTCTCATTAGACGGGCTTGTGAAAAGGATCCTTCTTTAACATCAGCTTTTGAGGCAAGCCTTTTTCCCAGCCTTCAAATGATACTGGCCAATGATGTTACAGAGTTCTTCCCTTATGCTTTCCAGCTGTTGGCACAGCTTGTTGAATTGAATAATCCTCCTATTCCATCAAGCTACATGCAGATTTTTGAGATTCTATTGTCACCTGAATCTTGGAAAAGAACCTCTAATGTACCAGCACTCGTACGGTTACTTCAGGCTTTCCTTCAAAAGGCACCTCATGAGCTTAATCAAGGTGGGCGTCTGAGCCAGGTTCTTGGAATATTTAGTAATCTAGTCTCATTCTCAAGCACTGCAGAACAAGGCTTTTATGTACTCAACACTGTTATTGAATCTCTCGAATATAGTGTGATTGAACAGTACATTGGTCAAATTTGGGCTGTTCTTTTCGGTCAGCTTCAAAGTAGACGGACGGTCAAGTTCATCAAGTCGCTTTTGATATTTATGTCCCTCTTTCTTGTTAAAAATGGTCATCAAAATCTATTGGATACCATCAACAGTGTTCAGAATGGCATATTTATCCAAATCTTGAGGCAGTTTTGGATACCTAATCTTAAACTAATCACTGGGGCCATTGAGCTTAAGTTAACTGCAGTTGCTTCAACCAGACTTATCTGTGAGTGTCCAGCTCTTTTGGATGCTGCATTTATTGAAGACTGGGGGAAAATGCTTGACAGCATTGTTACCCTTCTTTCTCGACCAGAACAGGAAAGGGTTGACGACGAGCCAGAGATGCCAGATATTGCTGAAAATGCAGGGTACAGTGCAAGTTTTGTTCGTCTATACAATGCAGGGAAGAAGGAGGATGATCCTCTGAAAGATATTAAGGATCCCAAGCAATTTCTAGTAGCATCTTTGTCAAAGCTTTCTGCTCTTTCTCCTGGGAGGTATCCTCAAGTCATCAGTCAGTATCTTGACCCTACAAATCAATCTGCATTGCTTCAGTTTTGCAGATCTTATAATTGCCCTATAGCTTGAGTAAGTTGCCGCTCCCATTTAATTTTTGGTGGGTGAAGCTTGTATATATATTGTATGCATGTGTGTGTGTATATTATTTTAGTCTTGCTGGCTAAAATTGGTAACAGGTATATATATCATGCATGTGTTTTATAYTATTTGTGCTAATACTAGATATGTAGGTATAAGGTGAACTCTATACTTAATTAATGTCGTTTGTTTGCATCTCATGCTTAACAATGTTAAGAACTATTTTTGCGCTGTACGTGGCATATTCATTCTCTAATATTGATCCATGATTCTCTGTTCTTTGAAGTTAGGAATACTTCAAATGAATGCATCCTCATGTTTTTATTTTTTATTATTTTTTTTATAATTATATCCGTTCCTGTCAATTTCAATATTTTTGCAAACTCTAGCAAACTGTTGGGATTTAGGAACATATATTACTTTTTTGTTGCTTAAGATATTCAATTGGGGTTGGAACTTGACTGGCGGATGTGCGTTTTATCAGGTGCTAGAAAGAAGCAATGGCAAATTCCTAATGAAATCAATTTACTATTGGTGTGTAATGTTTAACCTTAAAGGGATTTATTATTGGACGCCTTCCATTCTGAAGGTGAAATGGAATTATTCAGGAGAACTCTATTTGGGGTGGGGGGTCATTTGTAATTGTTCAACATGAAAAACTGTGCCACCGATGCATCCTCATTAAACCAATTTGATTTGTTTTTAACTTTTTATTTATGTTATTAATCTCAAAGTATCAATATCACCTTGTATATAATCGTGTGTATTCCTGCAATCTTTCAGGTTTTTCTGCTGCATTGAAGCAGGTTTTTGTGGACAAGTTGATCTTTAATCTTATTTTTCTCTTGGTGTTATCTCATTTGGTGGCCTATTCAACTTACATATCATCAGTTTGCTTCTTCAACTCTCATCATGGTGTGGAAGACTCTGCTAATTCAAGTTGGCCGGTGAGGCTATCAAACATGGTTTACCAAGTTTTGGTACAAGACTTTCCATCCATTTCATCCTCTTATATGTTGTCATGTTTACCTGCCTTTCATCTTGTGCATGCATTCATGAGGAAATGATAGACGTTTATTGCAGTCTTAGAGTTGTAATATGGCATCGAGCTTTTCTCTCCCTTTTGCTCCTATTTTAAAATTTCCCTTTGTCATTTTGGCATCACATGTAAGCACTTGTGTCTCATTGCTGTGATATTCAACTGCAAGTTTATATATCAGTTGGTTATTGTGGCTGGTGTAGAAAGATTACTGTTCACTAAAACTCTCATGTTTTCACCTGCATTTTCCTAGGCTAGTTAAAGTAATAACAGTTTTGATTGTTTGAAGTTTATGAGAATAAAATATGAAAAATACAATTTAGGGAATGAGAGAGATATCAGAGTAGAGGAAGTAGGAAGATTTTGGAAGCCGTTACAACTTACAAGTGAATAATCCTTCCCATTCCAAGGGAAAACAGCTAGAGGTAAGATTTAAAAGAGTACCCGCTAGCAAACCGTGCCACCACCCGTGTTACAAATGAGGTATACTCCAATCTCTCAAAGAACCAAGATGATCAATGCAGTTTCGGAATTCACATGAATCCAATTCAAAAACAAAGAATGAGAAGTTCTTTGATTTGGTATGATGTGGCCTACTCCATGATGTTGTAATAGTAGTATTAGGACTCGAGATTTATGGTTTACATCTTTTCCTTTTGTCCTATATTCATTTGCTCTTATTTGACGTTTGTCCTTGTATTTTAAATTTCACCATCTAGGAACCGAGGTTATGAGAGTAAGCGAAGTTGGCTATCCATTTTTCCAAACTCCATAACATATTTAGATTTATTTTTTCTTGTGACAAGGTCTTAAAATTAGAACTTAGAAGAATGAACTAGAATATATATATGAATTAGAGATATTATATGTTGGGTTGAATTGAAATATTGTTATATGTTATTGAAAGTTTGATTGAGGAGTCACATGCAAATGCCACCAAATATGATTGGAAAGAGGAAGGACTTGTTTGGAACTACCTTCCCTGCCCCTGTCCCAAAAAGGGACCAGATATTCTGTGTCCAAACAGTCGCGTCCTAGGCCTTTCCAACAAAGGCAGTGATCAGGTGCATCCGTCACCACCCACCCTACTTCCATCCTCTCCTCTCATTGGAGGATCTCCCTTTCCTCCTAGCTGTCATATTGTCCAAGTTCACATGTAAAACAGTCCCTCTGTTGCTCCTTTTCAATACATTGCACGTATAGTAATCTAATTCAAAAGATTAACAAATTTAACATTTGCTAAAAAGATTTGTAAATACGATACGTTTTTTCACACATCTACCAGTGATAGTGTGCATCACCTAGACAGATCGATACACTTCTATGCTGATAAGTTCAACGTCTACAACTAATAGATGTCCCACCATTTTTTAGATATATGTAAGTTTTAACGATTAATCTTTACAATTAAAAGTTTATGGTTTTCATTTTAACAATGACTATAGTAAAGAGATAATTTGTTTAGGTAACTCGAGCGTAGTTTACTGGGTCAAGACATGAAATTTTCCACAGTGAAAATGGAATTATATAGAAATCGTAAATTAAATTTAATATTGATAGTTTAAACTATATTTTTACTTATTTATTTTTGTATTAAAAATCTAGGGTATCCAACATAACAATAGAAATTAGACTCTGTTTTCTTTTTATGAAGTAAAGGCTCTCTGAAATCAGCTTTTGATTCATCATAGTCTTATTAACTTTAAAAGGGAATAAAAAGGGTCAAAATTAAGTAATTAATGGTGATGAAAATTCTCCAACTAAATCTCAATAATACATAAATAAGAGACCAAATTAGGTATGATGCCCAACTGTAGACTTAAACTTGGTTAGTAGTTGTTGTGGATTATTCTCTCTGTATACAATTTCCCCATTATTTAAATGGGTGCATTTTTCCCCCCAAAAATTAATCTCTAAACTATGCTTTTATTTCATACTAATTTTTATCATCTAAAATCATTACAAAGCTTAAACCATTTCACACTATTTAAATTCTACTTATTCTTGAAGAAAAATGATATTACCTACTTCGTTTATTGTTAATATATTCAAATGAGTAAGAAAAACTCAACGGTTAAGATATCTTGCTTATCTTCTAGAAGTTGAAAGTTCAATCCCCCATCTCTATTTGTTGCACTGATAATAAAAAAGTTAAATTTACAACTATGAGATCATTTAATAAGTGAAACAATATTTCAATAATGACGTAGTTAATATTGAATTTACAAATGAGATCAAACTTTAAAAATCACAAGTGTTTTATCCATTGAACAATACTCAATTCGATCGGAGATTAGAACTTCCAACCTTTAACATCTTAGTCGATGAATATGTCAATTTTTTGCTAATTTTAGTATAATTTAATTGGTGAAGATATTTATCTACCGATGTGCTAAAAGAAAACTTCATGTCAATCATTTAAAATTGTATAAATAAATGGTATTCAAATACGGAATCATCATACATATAACATGTTCTCCATTAAAATGCCAAAACGAACGAAAAATGCAATGATGAAAAAAACTGAAAAAAGTCACGAAAAAGGCATCCAAAAAAGTGGGAATTTTTTAGATTTCAGTCACAAAACTGTTCTCCTCTGCCTCATATTAATACATTGTTCCACACAATGCCACCGCCAAGCTAAGCCTGTACACTCACAGAAAGAGAGAAAAATAATTGAGAGATGGGAAGTGAAGCAAAGCTATGGCGGAACTCTGAACTTCCAAAGCTTCCTTTACTTGCAATTACAGCAATGGAGTCGCCAGATCGCTCCGGAATGCAAACCCCACCGATCCGCTCCTCAGTGTCCGTCCCATTTCGGTGGGAAGAGGAGCCCGGCAAGCCCAGGTTCTGTTTCACCACTCCCAATTCCAAGGAATCAACGGCTCAGAGAAAGTGCCTGGAACTTCCCCCCAGATTGCTGCTAATGGAACCCAAAATCCCAAAACTCCCTCCTCCCATCACCGCCCACAGACCCAAGGGGATGTTTCAGAACCAGTGTTGTGGGTCGTTCAGATTCGACAAACGGCAGCTCGGAGCCATGGTTCTGAGAAAGAGGGGAGTGCTGATGGAGAAGGAGTGGTTCTGTTGGCTGGGAAACAGGAGCTTTGGGCGCAGAGGACAACTTGGGTCTGCCTGTGGGAGTGTGTTTCCTTCTTCTTTGGAGAAGGGGAGTGGGAGTGAGAGTGAAACTGAAGGTGGGAGCAGTTCAAGGATGAAGCTTGCACAGACTCACACAGAAGGGAGCTTCTCTTCTTGTCTTGTCCAAGCCAAGACTGAGTTTTGGGTAATTTTAGAACCACCCCTCTTCTTCTCTCTTTCTATATATTATCAGTCATAACATTTCAAAGTTAGATTCCTAAACTTGCACCCAAATTTCTCAGGCTTTCCTTTGGTTTTACCAAAAGAAAAAACTTCTGGGGATGAATTGAACTAGTCTTAAAATCAAGCATTTCTCAAGGGAGGGTGATGTTTTTCAAACAATTTGTCAGGAATGAAACTAATACAGTTTGTGGAATTGCAGGGAAGCATAGGGGAAGGGTTGAAGCAGATCAACATTCCATGGAAGAGGAAAAAGCATAAGAAAGAGCACTGGTAATCATCAGAATGTTTATGTATAAACCAAGTTTAGCTTGTAATATAAATGCATCGAATAAGCATAATATGGAGGGCAGATGGTTTGGCTAGTGATAGAGATCTTTATCATCTTTTGAGATATCCTTGTACAGAAATAATGTTATGAATTGAATGGTGATTTCCCCCACATGTTTATTCATTTTGGTTGTGAAGAATATACAAAGCAGGCTGAGTCTTGGTTTGGTAATGAAGTCCTATTCTTTGTCAAGTAGAAAACAGAGAAAGAAAAGGACGAGAGAGAGAAGAAAGGAGGACAGATAAGAGATAACTAATTTGGAACAAGTTTAATTTAGTCCAGTTCATGAAGTGACTCGTGGGGACAATGCTTCTCTCTTCTACGAGAGTTTTAATATTAAAAAGAGCCTCTTTCATGTTAAAAATACATAAAACGATGTTGGATAATATCAAAGATGGTTCAACTTCTAACCATCTTGGGATGACCTAGTGGTCAATAAGGACCAATGTAAATAACAAAGGATTTAGAGAGAATCAGTTCAAACCATGGTAGCCACCTATCTAGGATTTAATTTCTTACGAGTTACCTTGTCAACCAAATGTAATAGAATCAGACGGTTGGTTTGTGATTAGGCAAGGGRCGCGCAAGCTARCTTGGACACACGGATATAAAAAAAAACATGGTTCAACTTCTGAGAAAATTTTCAAACTAAAATTCTTAATTTGGATCTGTTATGGTTTTACAAAGTTTCATTCCACTAAATGGTCTATCATCAAAACATCAATTTTCTCAGTGTTAAGGCCCTCTTGCAGCTACTGAAATTTGATTCCTTTTTAAGATTCCAGAGTCATCAAGTAAAATCAAAAGAAACGGCAAAAGGATCAGCAAAAGAATCGAAAGAGAGATATATTCTCTCTCTTCATTAAAATGTTATCCTCGTATATACAAACAACACTGCACACATTGGAAAGCTAAGTTACACAGATACACACACAGCTTATAGTTGATTGAGCACGTACCCTTGTCAATTGATTTTCTTCTATAAGAAATTCATTAAAACTAGGCCTAGAAAGAAGGTAGCATCCACCCTACTGTCCACCCCAGAAGCAAACCTGCACTGACCAAGCTCAATCCTAGAGCAAACGCAACGGCATAAGTAGAAATATCACTTCTATGCCGGTCCCGCTTAACTCTTTTCCGCCTGGTGAATCTCTGCCATCTCTTATCAGATATCATGTTCTTGTAGGACATCCATGGAAGAATTAAAGGAAAAAGAGTGGACATAGGCTGATCATTGTTCTTTATCTGGAGGCTTTCTAGTTGCAGGAGTTGAAACCATTGCTTATATGCAAAGAGCTGGGATGCTTGTCTGAAGAAAAGGTCAACTATATGCTCCTTCTCTGCATAAGCTTGCTTTGCTGCATTCTCGGCTTCCCTCGCACGGGTTTGAGAATGTAGCAGTGCATCCATTAGCTCAGCTTTGCTGGTATTTTCCTCAGAAATTTGTGTTGTTTTTGTGGAGTTGTTGGGATTTGTACAGCTGCACTCAACACAGAGCGGTGTCAGTTATATCTTAGTAAGACCTTACTTTTGAATGTGGAGACGCCAAAATCTAAAAGAAAAAATCTATACATTCAACCAGTCTAATTAACTTAGCAGAAAACCGATCTAAAAGAATGACAATGCGGTAATGCCCATTTATCAGGATGGACTCTCAAAAATTGTTCTTTCAAGTGGTACAGCCTCTGATCGTCATTTCATCCTAATATGAGAGGACACTTAATAACTTAATATATCTGGAAAACTTGGTTTGAACCAATAAGAATAGTCAATAAAATGAAGTTGCACACCAGGAATTCATAGAAATATAGCAACTAGCAATTGACATAGTACCTCAAAGATTGATGAGATCCATGCAGCAAGTTCCCTTGTCCAATCGATTCCCCCAATTCTCTCTGTGTTTCGTCCAAATGACAAAAGTCCAGTCCACAATTTCGGTGCTTCGAATCAAAGGTAGAAATCCAATTTGTATCATGTTCGTAGCATTGCTTTTGAGTATGAGGGTATCTCTTTAAGTTCAAGCATGTTTTTTTAGGTGGTGGAAGATCACAATTCTCAATACAATCAAGAGATCTCTGTGCAACCCAATAGGCCAATTCATCTCTATCTGTTATCCACCACCATGGCTCAGCCTTGTCCTCTTGAATCCAAGGAGAATCTGGATCAAAGTAAAACTCATCTTGATTTTTGGAAATTGTTTTGCTGTTGAAAGAATCCATCTCTGAACATTCAAAGTTTGCTTTCATATCTACACTACAGAGACATTCTTGAGAGTCTGTACCATCGTCCAAGGCCTTTATGTCTTCATTCATAATGCTGTTCACTCTCTTTGTACAAACAGCAGAGACACCATGATCAGTATCTAGAGAAGATCTGCTATAATCATCAATTTCATAGACAGTACTGCTTCCTTTAGATGGGTGAATATCACTTGAAGTACATGATTTTTCCGTACCAGACTTAGAAGTTTCATTGCCAGCTTCTAAAGCATTAATTTGTTCAGGGGTAAAAATCTTTTGGTATCCATAGCTAGATTGAGTCTGAAGCCACCATTTTGAGTCTGGAAATAAACTAGCATATGAAGAAGCTCTGTTAAGGGGAATCAAACCTATGGAAGGATGATCTGCCCCATCTGCTGCTGCATTGGCAGGTCCAAAATCAACCTGTTTGGATGTTGAAGATGATGATTGACAGCAAGCTAATCTGGGAGCTCTTTTGGCATCTTCTTGGACAAAGCAACGATTAACCGTCCTCTGAAAGGCAGCCCTTGCTTCTGCTGCTGCCATCAAAACCCTATCTTTTGCACATCCATAGCAGAGTAGAATTTGTTAAAATTTTAATCAAAATTTATGTCCACATTAAAATAGCCCAAGAAAATAGAAGCTCGGAAACCTTAAAAGCACATCTTAATATCTGAAATGCAGAAGAATGTGTAGAAGATGAAGTTCAAAATTCATATGAAACAGAAATGATAAACATTGCGATGGCCATCATAACTTAAAGCGGATATTGACTCATAATTTATTGATGATAGCATCCAGTACTTCATCTTTTCTCCAAAAGGGTTAGTTACTATTCATGTCATGATAGCCAGATTTGCAAAAAATTTATATCACATTATAAAGGAACAACCTAGTTCTGGTATTCATCTTCAAAATTGTGGAAAAAGGGGAACAAGTTATTCAGCAAGCATCTGCTGGAAAGCGAAATTCTCTACTGAACAAAGTTCAAATCGACAACTTCTAAAGATATCAAGAAAATCTACAAACAAATTAACTTGCTCCTGATTACATGCCTAAATAGGATCAGAAAACATTTCAAGTTCCAGTTCTTAAATTGAATAGTCTTGAATAGTAATCACGAAATAAGAAATATCTAAGTTGTTGAAGCCTCAGTTCATACAACCGTGATTTCAGTTTAAGAATTGCTAAATAGAAATTCGCATTAGTTCTTGAGACATGAATTTGAAATAGTTGAACAACCTCACCGAACCTCCTAATAAACACCCAAATGCGAATTCTAAAGGATTGATTAACCCCAATTAATACTAATAAGTTTTGGACACAAATGGGAGCAAAACAAACACAAAATGTTATCCCAATCAGTTAAATTTAGCTGCATATTTGTAGCTTAAGGCATAAAAACAAAGCCCAGCATCTATCAACAATAGTTATAACAGAAATACTTTCTTAGTAACCATTATATGTGCCTATATACATATTCAGAGAAAAGGGAAAAAGTAYGAAACCTGGAGCCCATAAACTAATTCAAACTCCTTGGTATTGGTTTTTAAACAACATGATCACAAGTTCACACCTCTAAATTGTAATTAACACCAAGAAATAGAACTATATAAGGATCCTGATTTAGCAGTCCCAAGAAAATCAAAGTAAAAAAACTACCCAGTAGTCATTTTAACGAAACAGAGAGAATCCCCTTAACAGAAACAAGCTGAAAATAAGAATGAAAGCAACCCTATGATCCAAACCCACTCAGAGATTCGAAGGAACTAAATGGGTACCTTGGGATCAAACTGAATCAATTATATGGGTCAAAAGCAAGGCGTTGAAAGATGCAAAAGAAATCTAGAACCAGAGGAAGAAGATGACGCATCTGGGAGAGGAGACTGTGGAAAAGAGGTGTCAGTCTTCCAAATTTTGCAGATTTTTTAATGGGGCGTTTTATCTTTTTCTTGGTTCAGTTATCTATCATTCTTCGCTGTCGGTTTCTGAAGGGAGCGCTTTACTAATCAGCAAGAAGATTGAAACCGAAAGGTCGACTGAAGCGCTGTCGTTTCGTTCAAGACTACTCCCCCAGTGGGGCAATTTTTTCCATTTGTCACTGTATCTCTGCTGTTTGGCAAAAACCCATTTCTTTCCTTTCGAAAATTGTTTCGAAAATTGCGACAGAATGATCCAAACCGGCAAATTTTGATCATTTTTTCTAAACATAATTTAATCATAATTCACTCAAAATCAAAGATGGGCAGTAATGTACACCATATTCTTTAATTGAAGGCCAATGGAGAGAGTATACGTGTAATCAAGAGGTTGTGCCCATGGTATTTGAGGACTTTGCGTCATTACCTTGACTTGCAAGGAAACTTAAATGGAAAAGAAATGGGTTTGGCCAATCAAGCATGATAGAGTTTCATAGGTGTTACGTTACTTTTTGTGGTTAATGGAAAGAAGTATATATAATTAGAGAAAACAGAGCAAAAAAGATTGGGAATTTTTTGAAACTCCCATAGATCCCATGGTTTTTTTACTCTTGTGATTGTCCCCACCATAAGTAATCACCAATGGCGCTATGGGAGCCTTTTGCCAAGCCCACCGATTTACCAAAACAATGCCTCTTATTTGTTCCTAACCCGAGTGTAAGCAAGTTGATTCGAATCGATTTCAGCCGAAATGAATGTCAAATCAACAAATCAAGTAAGGAAAAAGAAAGCGATGCTAGAACCCATTTTTTAAAATCGATGGACCTGAACCAACTAGTTTCGACATTATATTTTAGAAAACTAGATTATTTGATAAGTATACACGAAAACAAGTTAGTTTGATCGGTTTTTCAATTTCAACCTGCACCCTTGAATTTAAATTTTAAGTGGTAAATTTCATCCAAACTTATGCTTGGTTTTACCAACGTCATATTTGTGTAGAAAAGTTTTGAAGTTGAAGTAGAATCTCTTTTGGAAAAGAGTCGCCCCAAAAGGTGTCAAGGACTTGAAATTTCTTGATCATACTGGTTTAGAAGCCTTAAGTTCGAACCTTCTGATGAACTTAATACAAAAAATTCTTGATGTCTCTCAGGTCTGTGCCTTAGGGCGGGCACGGGTCTCCCTAGGTATAGTGGAGCAAAGCTCCAACTCTCCGTTATAAAAAAAGAAAAAAAGAAAAAGAAAAAAAGTCAGTTGGATGGAAATGCCTGTCGTTCGTTTATCAAGCAGTGATATGATTAGACAAAAAGAAGAGGCCAAAAATGATAATTCACATTAAACTTCAGCTCTACAAAAGTTGTTCCAAAATGTACAGTAAAAAAGAATCTCACAAACCCAAACTGTAACCAAGGACAGTCTTATTTTCCTTTATACTGGGGAAAGAGGATGAACAAAGTTTATACACATCTAAAAAAATTTACCCAAGCATCCCAACAAAAAGAAAAAGAAACACAGTAAATTCTTCTGCCAAAGAGAGAGCAAGCGATAGCAGCCATTAGCACTAAGCAGCAAATTCTTGTTCACTTCATGTGGGTAGTCCATATTGAGGTTCTCTTTCCTCCAGAAGCAAAAACTTGCATGAATCAAACGAACTTTACTTCTATTCTGTTTGGGTTGAACAGTCATTGCCACAAAGCGTTTTCCTCCTCATAACAAGGTACTGGTCACTTAATTTCACTCTAGTTCGCCGTAATCCTCAGCCAATAAAACTGAATGTTTCATCATGGTTAGATCTTCGCTTTCTGAAGTTACTATTACTACATAAGGTCACAGCACGTTAGCAATTCAAGCCCAAAAGCCTATTGACATTGAACATGAAGGCACTGATTTGAGCTTTTGTTCTGGAAACTAGTCAGGATAATGTACCAACTGTGAATATCTTAAACGTGCTCGGTCAAGTACAAGGCATGCACGCCGAGCCATACGTGACACTATCCTCACACCACCTCTTCTGCACATCTCAAATTCCCATATTTTAACTGCAACAAAACAAGTTTTTGGGTTTTGTTCTGCCTGTTCCGTTCTACACAGATCATTTCAGCTGAACCAGCTTTACAGAGCCATCTCCACCACAGGTAAGAAATCCACTTGAGATAACTTGTATATCAGTAACAGCAGCCTGTAGGATTATGTAATTCAATGAGCTTTAGCACTGTGAAAGAGTTTGCTTCCAAAAAAATAGATCTTTTGAACCTTTTCAAGCAAATATAATAATCATTTAAAATTTTCATATGTAGCATAAAGAACATAGATATGCTCTGACACAGTTTTACGTGTCATCTTCCATCAAAACTAAAATTTTAAATTTGTTTAGTAAAACTAGCACTTCACTAAACTACGAGAAAGGGAGATTACCCGAACTACTTCACCAAAACCACGGGAGCTGGGTTGCAGAAAAGTGTGTCTATCATGCAACTTCGGCCAATGATAAACTAATTTAGCTCCTTTTGCATCCCAAAGTTTTACGTCTCCATCTTTGCTTCCAGTCAAGAACAAATTCGTATTTGGGATGGAAGATATTTTGGTAACGCTCTCAGAGTGAGCCTTTGGTATGTACCAAAGCATTCCATTGAAGTTTTGTTCACCAATGGTACTTGGCATATTAATATTTGAAGCATCGCTGATCCGTTCATCTTTAGAAGAGTGTTTCTGTTTTTTAGGTCTACCAGTGACCACGTATCGGAAGTCATGAAGTCCAACGTCTCCACCTTTCCCACCGGTTACTATGAGTGGTGAAATAGACCCACTTCCTATTTCATTATCAAACACAGAAAGAGAGCGAGCACCACCTGCACATTAAAAGAAGAAAGTTGCTTAGAAATATACAAACAGGTCAATATCTAAACTGAAATTTTGACAGAAAAAAGAAAGACCAGCTTTGACATGGAGTACGGTATATCATCGTTACCATGAATTTTGCCATATAAGTCAAGAAACAATATAGGACACTTGATGAAATATTGGGAAACGTATTTCATTTCTTTTATATATTACAAAACTTCATCCTATGGGCCAACCAATAAAGACATTCTCCAACTTGATAATAGTAAATACATCTCCCTTAAGCGGACAGGTTTGCCTTTATTGCTTTATTTAATCACATTCGAGCAAATCACGTATTACCATGATTGTCCTGTCTCGTTCATGAAGACAAAAAGAATTTCAAAGACAAACAAGGTAAAAGACCTTGCTTTTGGAGTCAAATATGAGACGGATACCTTCATGACACATAATGGATGCTCGCGAAGTTGTAGGTGGAGCCAATGTATCCCATATGATTACATTAACTGCAGTGGAGCTATATCCAGCCACAGCTATTATTGATCCACTGGAAGTAACAAAAGTGACATCCCTGCAAATTGATAAATAACAAGTTCAATAATATGAAACATTGTATGTTATAAAATGTAAATGCAAGAAGACTCAAGTTTATATGTATAAATGATGTAGTGGTTTTATTAAAAAAAAAAATCCCTTGAAACCCTTGTCAACTAGCCGTTAGAGTTAGTTGTCTCTTTTATAGCCGTGGAGCTTTAACAGTCGTTAGTGGCTTGAGAGTTAGTCAATTGATTAATTAGTTGGGTGTTAGTTATGTTGGCCTATTATAAATAAACCCCATCTCTTGTAATTTAAGGCTATTAAAGATTAATAAAAAAATTCGAGCAACTTGAATACATGATGATTTATAGTAAATGGATAAGAATAGAWACCAAATAGGTAGTTATTTAACAGTTAAAAGTGAAATTACATACGATGCATGGCCATTAAAGCAGAGCGATGACTCTGTGGGTAGGACATTGCTCCTTCCTCCAACCTCCAACTGCCATGAGCATACAGTCCCATCTAAGGCAGCAGTAGCAAATCTGTGTCCGCATTGGTCAAACTGCACGGATGATATTGAGGCTAGAGCATATGGTGGAGGGACGTTTGCTGCGGGCAAGACACCATAAGTTGCAGTAGCTTTGTCCTTCCCAAACTGCATTAATTTAAATTTACACCATCGGACCATCCCAAGAAAAGTTGACAGTAAATTAGTAATGAAATTTTTAAATATGCAAGTTGGAATTTACTCCTCTGTTAAACTGCAAAAATCGCTACTCTAGAGCAAAAGATAATATTAGTTAATACCTCCCACAAGTATACATGTGTATTGGTAGAACCAACCAAGAAAAGAGGCCTAGAAGGATGACTGGAGAAAGCCCTTGTGCTCGTGTGTTCTGCAGTAGCTGGAGGATCAACAAATTCCTCAAAATCCTCTTGTGTTTCCCAACCTAGGCCAGAAGCACCAATACCAGCATAACCTGAAATACCAAATGCTCCACCTCCGGTCAAGTCTCTCCCCGGCCTTGCAGATGATCCAACACCCACAGTTGCACCACCCAACCCAAGGTGTGCCCCTTTTCTGCTACCAAGACCAACACCAGGAAATACACATGTTGGAGCTGGTGTCGATTCAGAGCCTGCCCACCCATTTAGATTTAGAGGCCACTCAGACTTTGACCAGATATAATCCTCTTCATCTCTGGAGGCCATCCCATCTTCCCAGCTAAAGAAAATTATACCCTGAATCCATCCAAATTGTAATTAAATATGTCTAATCACCATGCTTGCAATTTGCATGCATATGATAGTAATAGAGGAAAAATATTATAGGAGAGAACAGTGATCTTCAACTATAGATAAATGCATCAGTTAAGTACATATCAAACATTTCCTTTAAGCACTACAGCTGAATTTTATTATCTTTTTAATAAAGTGAATGGAACTTTATGCCTCCTGCATTTGTCAACGATCACTTTCACCAAGTTCACAAATTGATTATGTGAATGCCGTATGCATCTATAGAAACTCTTTTAACGCCCATCAAAAGTTATTGACTCTTAYTGATTTTATGGAATCTTTCAAAGATTGCAATCATGCAGCATATGAACCTTCGCCAAGAAAGCACAGTCAGAATCAAGAGATAAGCTTTTAGATAAAAAAAACTGAAGAACTGTACAGAGTTGAAATAAATATATGAAGGTAGAAAAAAATGGATGAATACACAACCGAATTCAAGCTATCAATTAATCACTCAACAGATATGCTCCTTTCCAACACACAGACACAAAAGATACGCAGTTCAAATTAATTTACAGACGTATTTAGACAGCTACAGGTATGAGCTCCTATTATAACACTTCAAGCATAAGAGGTCCAATTTGTTCAGTCAGCCATCTCATTGAAAATTGAGACGGAGAGCAATACACTACGAAGGATAATTCAAGGGTCTTCCAGAATCTTGATGATCTTCAGCAAAATTTGAATTTCAATGATTCAAATCTTCTGAATTTTTTATACTGTTAAGCATTTGTCTATTAAATAGGGAGTTATCACATTTTACAGGCATACCTAAATAGTAGGACCCCCCATAATAGCCACACTCTGCACATGGAAATGTTTATGTAGTTGGTAAAATTATTGACTTCAAAATTCCTAAATGGTCGAAGTGAAAATGATTGTGAAAGGTAGCACCTTCAAATAATTAAGAAGATTGAAGAGGAATTCAAACACATTACCCTAAAAATGGGGGCGTTCTAAAAGGGAAAAGAGGGGAAAAAAAGCCAAAAGTCAAATATGAGGATGACAACTGACCTTTTTATTACTGGCAAGTGCAGCTTGTCTTTGGTCAACAGAGTTGATACACAATGCCTGCCTTAAGAAAAATAACACTAAGAATGCTATATCAAAGTTTTGAAATATTTTTACTAAAAGAAACATACTTATTGCTTCTCAAGACAAAAAAATTTTCAGCCTTATTCAATAAGCAAGGATATATTACCAGAAAGAATTATAAGGACAAAAAAAAACAGAAGTTCGTGGTGCTAAAAAAATTTTAGTAGCAACATATGATTGGATTGAAAATTACCTCTAACAGCTCTCCACTCCTCCTATATATCTCTTTAGATTTCTGAAAAGACATGACATCCTCAAGGGTTGCTAATTCCTTGTCAGATCTTACAAGCGTTTTCCCATTACCAAATAATTTACCAGGCGATACGGTGGCATTGCTGGAAGAACTACTGACTAGTGCACCTTCACGAGTACAAGTGTCCTCTGCCCTTGTGGTGCCGTTATAAATGTCACTCCATATTTCAGAGAGTTTATGATCAAAACAGTGCAACAGATTAACTTTTTCATGTGCAAAACATTCTGATATTATATTGGGATTGGAAGTAATGTTCCACAATGTTTCAAAGTCACCTTCGTTACACATATCCATATTGTATATTTCTTCATCAGTGTGGTGCTTCTGTTGCCGAGATTGAGTCTGGCTAAAGTGTTCAAACCAAACAACAGTTGCAACGTACAACTTCTGATCTAACTTATGTTGCAAAGATGATACCAGTTGTTTTAGTTGATAAGAAGAAACCCGAGCAAGGACCGTGGCCAGTAGAGAAGTAAGACTCATTGATATCAATTCAACCACATCCTTTAAAATGTCTTTCTGATCGGGAGTCATGGTTGAAAGACTTGGAGCCCACGTAAAAAGGTTACCAAGAATGATACTGCCAAAGTTACCCTCTTTGGATTTATTAGTTAAAATAGCCAACTTATGCTTCACGAATCTGGACATGTGTTGCCACAAACAAGCCCCAATAATGTGCCATCTTTCATCCACTGGAATTGAATGCACAATATCGTCACTTTGTTCAGTGGGCACGCCTGCCAGTATCTGATGGTTATAATCTACACCGGTCAAAAAGTTTTGAGCTATCAACTCTCCAATGTGAGGGAAGAGTTGGTTCAGATGTCCCATGTCAATGTCATGAGGAGATTCTGCATTAGAAAAAGCGACAAAGAGTGGTTGCAGCATTTTAAGGAGACATTTTGAGTCTCTCAGTAGCCAAGCAGATGCGAAATACAAGTTATATTCAACCAAATCAAGAATGGTCACGAGCTTGGAAACAAGATCTTCTTTGAGAGAACCATGTATACTTCTCAAAGCAGTTCTTAGGCCCTGTAATGATAGTAAAAGACCTTGAAGGTAGTACCACCAAATATCTAAACACTTCGTCATAATTTCACCTCTGTGGAACGATAAACTGCAAGCAATAATATACCGTGAAGTTGAAAATGAAATTTCTTGTGCTATTTTCAGTAGTGACTTGTGCGAGAGAGGATACAAGAAGTAAGTATGAATCCTCTGATACTTGTCATCCGAGCATTCTTGAGAAGTAGATCCATGAAATATATCATGTGCAATAAATTGTAGCCCAAGATTACACAGAAAGACTAATATCTGTTAAGAAAAATGGGTAGGAAATGAATTTCATTGGGGGAAAAAAATTAGAAGCATAAACACATGAAGTAATAAATTAGAGAGAAAATACCACACTCAGAAATCTACTTACCATACYAACAAGAGAGGCAGGAATCAATGAAAACTTCATTTCAAACTGTGCAAACCCCACATATAATTTATGTTGAAAACTTCCAAGAGATTTCTCATAATCCACCTCATCTTCCTTTAAGCAACCCATCCATCCAACAGATTCTAACTTTATGATTGGCCAGCTTGGGTGCTTCCGTATCAATTTTGAGAAGTATTGAACAGCCAAATCTAACTTTGCTCGATGCTCCAGATGGACAGCAAATTCAACAGACAGCCAACTGGAGGAATATCTAGGAGATTGCTTACAGATTTTGCTTATAGTCTCAAAACACTGAATATCCACCCCATTTGTCCTATCTGTAACTTCAGCAATGCTCCCGCAGGTTGACAAGTGTTCCAAAGCTTCAAGCTTAAAATCAACCGAGAACATAAGAAAAGCAAACATAACATGTTTACAAGGAGAGGTATGGTATGGATGTTCGAATGAAATCAATAAGCTAGCTTTGAATTTTCTTAGTTATTCATTTTTAAAGAAAAAAGACGTGCGTATTTGAGGAGCGAAAATTTGAAAGTTTTCTATTTGACACATATTCTTACATCTATTGGATTACTCGATTGGATTTTCAGTCCTCCATCAGTATGATGCTCAAGCTAAATGAAGAGGCAAAGAGGTTGTGAAAATTTCTATTATAGCTACAATTTTAGAATTTGGGTTGAAGTGGAATAGGATTATTTCTTAAGACACTTCATTGATTTCTCATGACATTGGGTATGGTTTTTGGAGTAAACTTCATAAGATCATTTTTTTAACTTCTTCCCTATGAATTCAATGAGACAATTTAGAAGTATACCTCTTTCAGTCTTTGTTACTGGGAGGCTCATTGCAGGTAATGGTTTTGATTTTTTAAGGAAGGAGTTTACATTCATTAAGTCAGGGTTTCCCTTCCACCATGTAAATGTACACTTTGTTCTAACAAAAAATATTCTTTTTATGCAACAACATGATAATATATCCAATTATTGCTTAAAGATAATCTCTAACAAAAAATATTCTTTTTATGCAACAACATGATAATATATCCAATTATTGCTTTAAGATTGTCTCTTCTACTCAGATTGATTGAACTTATTTGTCAGACCTCTTTTTTAAGCAGAAGCACCATATCATTGACATCATTAACCATAGCATAAACTTACAGGAAGACCACATCTGTTTAAAGCAGTAGCCATCATCAAGGTTGCAAGCCGACAAAGGACCTCAGCAGGTTGCTCTCCGACTGCTTTCTTCATGCTATTTTTGGTTGCTAACAAGAGACAATACATACCAATGCTTTGGTCCAGAAAAGCAATATGTTTGCTTGAAAAAAATGGTATCTCAGTTACGGAATGTGATTCCAAACCAAGTACATTCATAAAGGACTGAGAGTAGTTTCCTAATTCCCACTGCAAACAAAAGAGGAAAATTTTAAGTTTGTGGCATTCCAAAATCCAAGTAAAACACATATATTCCACTTCTGTAGTATTTAGTCATTCACCTTTTGTTCAAAAAATGATAGATGCAAATAAAACACTTATTATTTAATGCAGTTACAAATTCATCCCTTACAGTTTAAAAACGAATTTTTATTCATGTGGTTCAATAATGTACAAAATACATCTCTCTTGCCAACATGGGAATAAAACATAGGGGGTGTTTTGCAACTATATGAATAAGGCACTTCTTTGTAAAAAGAAGAGTGACATGACATTTCTTAAGATATTAAGTCAGCAAGAGGGGTGTGTAATGTAAATAATTAAATCAAATGAATTATAAGTAATCATTTTTAAACTATATGACAAATTTGCAATCGCATCTACAGTAAGGTATTCTACATTTATCCCTTAAAATAAGTGATGCACCTCGAGAATGCTTGCAAGCCACGCGTCGCCCTTCTCAATGGCAGATGGAAGCATAAACTTTGTTATTAGGTGTTGCTGAAGATGTCCACCACGCCCTTCAACTAGACGACAAATTACCAGTGCAAGCTGCTCATCCGCAAGATTTTTTGCACAGACACTAATAGCAGAAGAAGTGTCCCCACCAAGCAGGAAGAAAGCAATAGCCAACTCCAGTTGATGTCTCCCCATTAAAACATAGGCATTCTTCAAAGCTGCTGCCTTATTTTTCTCCTCCTGAAAAGTGACAATTAAGTGAAACTGCAGATTAACATGATTTAAGAGAAAAATGACCCTCCAAAACTGTTCTCTCCAAAGACCATGCACATAAATTTGACATTATCCAGATGGTATATGAAAGGAGCACCTGAAAATTGCGTGAAAGAAATCCCACCAAGGGTTTATCTTTCTSATCCCTGCTAATTTTAAAAAGGCCGGCTAAAACTTGGATTCTATTCAGCGCAACATACAGAAGCATACAGTCCTTGGGATCTTTCTTCTTCAGATATTGGGATCTTGCTAGTTTCTCCATCTACATATAACACGGACCAATGAGACAAAAAATGATTAATCTATGGCAGAACAAAACTCTCGTCAAAATTTTCTAAGAAAGACATCTGTTGCCAGAGCCAGTCTAATGAACTTATCAACAGGATGATAAACAATTGGTTAACATTTACCAGTTTAAAGGTGTACAAAAACCCGTGGCCAAACTTCATCTAAGCGAACAACCGAATCATGAGATTATTTCAACTGGGTGGCTAAAGGAGTTTTAATGCACTTTGGCTTCAAAATATATGGTGGTTATGAAAATCTAAAAGGGAATAAAAGTTGTGTTCATTTTTTTTAATAAGAAAAATAATGCTACATGTTTGATATGAAATTAGGACAATTGCCTTRATCTACATTACCAGTACCCAGTCTGATGGAATAAAGGGTTTGCACAAAAAGTGAAAAAGAAATACATAAATATTATAGAATCACTTAGATTTATATATTTAAAGCTAAGAAATTTATATGAATATACATCTCCAAGTATTACCCTTGTACGCAACTGTGTTGTATTAGTAAACCAAATTCCAACACCCAAACTTCGCATTTCCTGCCAAGTTGGTTCGTTAGAGATAACTGAATCCAATAGATTTTCCTGACAATCAGAGTGATAGGCCCATCCACTCAATTTTGAGTCAATGACCAGCTCTTCCAGAGATGCTGCTCTACCATTTTGCCGAAGAAATTGCAATTGTTGAAACCTCAAAGCAATCCAATATCTAGGGAAAGAGCATAAATAATCACTATAGTATGAAACAATAAAATTGAATAATTGAATAATTATTCTAAAAATTTACTTTAAAAATTAAGAATAAGAAGAAGAATAAATACTCTTTTTAATCGACATAGTGAAAAGGTACCATCAAAATCTAAAACCTTCATTTAAGAGTTTACAGTATACTACCCTAGCTTGAATTAATTACAAAGGGAGTATAATTACCAAAATTAAAAAATACAAAAATACAAAATAAATAATAAATTAAATAATAAACCAAAATGAAAAAATGAAAAAAATAATAATAATAAAGTAGATGATGAAAACCAGGAATAATGAAAGTTGGCCAAATTAGGAACTTCTTCCCAGTCCATACTCTTGTTGCTGAAAAGCCTATTGTATATCTCTATATATCACCCCATGTGATCGTTCTAACTTCTAACTGCATTTGCCCACAATATAGTAGTAACCTTACATTCAAGTCTGTGGCCACACAACATTTGGCCCAAATTTCCATTTTTTTTTATTCCTTAACAACATATAAACTTTTCAAAGAACAAGTTTTACCCATTCGAACAACTTGATAGTTTCCCTGAGCTTGCCCATTTCAAGTTCTGTTAAGTTTCTTCTAGTCAAGATCTTATAAGAATAAATATTTTCTTCCCATGCCTCTTATACAGCGATAGTTTTTTGGTAACACAGATAGAACCTGGGAAGGAACTTGAAGGGAAATATCCTCTGTTTATGTCCACAATAAATTCTCATAATGTTCAAAATTTCACACAACAAACTAACAAATCAGGGATTTAGTTAAATAGAATATAAGGTGTTTAGACTATGTAGTAAAGATTAAACTGGCAGCATACTAGAACTCAAAGGATCTAATAGAAAAATATTGAAAAGAAAAAGTTACAAACGACCAAAAATTAAAGAAATAAACTGTAAATGAAAATAAAATCAATTAAAACATACAAAACTCGAAAAAAAAAATACATAGTTTACAATAAAATTAAGGAGGATGATATATATAACTGCAGGGATTAGTGACAATGAGGGAAAGGTTTCCTCTTAGTCTTTTAACAGAACTGTGTAATCCAGGTACAAGGTCTGGCAACTAGCGAAGCTTAGACATCTTAAAATTATAAAATCATTATTGCAAAGTACCTTCTCCCAGGCTCATCAAGACTTTCATAGGCAGATGCAGAAGATTTATTACTGATTTCACCAAGAAGATCTACAATTGCTAGAGTTTGTGTCTTCTCCACGCTGGTTAGCCCTGCTACTTCRTAGAACTTCTCAAGAGGCTCAATAAAGCTGCTGAATTCAGATTTCGTAGAGGATGGAATGAATGAGTTACCATTACTAGTAGACTCCCAATTGAAGGTCCATTGAGAAACACCACCCTTAAACTGGGATGATGAGTCACTCGTACTCCACTGAACTCCTTTATCAGTTGAAGTTTTCACAACTCCTTCAAAATAATCTGACAGAAGAATCTCTGGAATAGTATAGGTTGGGTTTGGAGAGCTCTTTTCATCAGAAGGAAGATGCTCAATAAGATGACTCAAAGCCGTATATGCACGTTTCCATTTGCCTAATCAAATTGAGGATTGCACATCTTAATTCTAAAGGAATCGCTAAATTAAACTTTACTAAACAGAGAGAGATGATAAAATTTCTAAAGAAATTATCCTAACATTAAACTCCCGATACTGAAAAATGTTTTAATTTGATAAGAGGGATGTCTAGTTGAGCTATGTGGAAGTCTAAAAGCCCTAGAAGTAAATATTCTGGTCTGGTTACCATTGTCGGAAGGGCTTAATTCAGCTGAAAGATTACAAAAAAGATGCCCCTTTTTAGCAATTTTCCAAGTTGGTGCTGCTTATGAGAAAAAGCAGGAGAAAACCTTGATCACTTACAGTTTCCATGCTCCTACAGCAGCAAAGTATGAGATTTTATATTCAAAAGTTCTATATTTTCTTGAGTTTTCAATGTGGGAGCTAAAATCAATACTTTTGCTCTGTTACGTGGTCATGGATAGAAATGTTGTGCAAAATTGTTATGGATTAACATGGTCAAAGGCTCAAAGCAACATTGTGGGTTATTTGGGGAGTAAAGAAACCAAGGGATTTTTAAAGACATATAAGCTTCTTTGGAAGATTGATTCAAGTAGATTATTTTTGCAGCATCAACATCATGGTGCACAAAAATGTTGTATTTTCTGGTACATCATTATGGATTGCATTAGTATTTCTGGTGGGTATCCTTAATCCTCTTATCTTTTGAACCTGTTCATTCTCGATACAAAAATGTTATGGCCCTTCCCTAATTCTTTCAAATTGTGAGATAGATTAAAATGCAATATGAGTCCTAAAATTTTCAAATTCAAATAAAGGAAAAAAAAAAGACGGAGGGGTCTCTTGCTTGTATTGTGAAAATTTAATATATTTCACTTAAAGACAAATTTCAGTTTTCTTTTCTCTTCGAGAAAACATGGAAATTGACAGTTTTAATGCCTTAACCAGAAAGTAAGGAAATAAGCTTATAACCATGTTATCTGTTGCTAGTGGCAAGTCAATGAAAGCAATAAAATTTACAATACAATAACTCAGACTAAAAATTTTATCAGAGTATAAAGATAAAACAAATGAATAAGATATTCTGTGTGTTCATAAAAGCATCTAACAAGATAGATTGTGATGAAGGACCAATACTTGAGTAAACAATGTAGCTTTCTGATAGGCAGTAATTTAATAATCACCTGAATATATATTAATGAGGAGGGCTTGAGGATGAAAAGAAGACAGTGATCCACACAGTTTATCAACTACATCCAGCATGCTTATTAAACCAAGCCCGGATTTATTTTTCATTTGAGCAACCCATGGATTCAAAGTGCTCGACAGAGTTTTGCTTTCAGCATAAAAGTTTGCCAGAGATTTCGATCTACATTTGCTGTCATAATTATCATCCGGTAGTTTTTCGATACCGCAACATTCATCACTAAAAACAGCAGCAGAAATGTCTACAACTGTTCCATTGACATGGTGAGCTTTAGTTTCTTCGATATAATAAGGGTTGCACATGGCATCATGGTTTTTATCCACAAGGAACAACCATGGACTAACTATACAAAAGTAATGATCATGTACAACTATCGCTGTGGTTCTCGGCCCCCAAAGGAAGCCACAGTTAGAAGAGAGAGTACGAGCAAACCCAATGCAGATCCAAGTCTTGGTATCCAAAGATTTTGTGATGCATGACAAGGTTTGGCCACCAAAGCGCTTCGGGGAGTACACACACAATTCATTCTGCAAACAAATTCCAAGTAAAAACTGACCATTTCCTAAAGTTAACCAGTCTAGGGCAACAATATTGCTTTCAAAGGACAATTTATCTTCAAATAAGAGGGTCCCCACACCAAGGTATCCAAGCTCCCATATATGAACATTGCTGGTATTACATTTTTGGTTGTCCTTGCTAATTGTTGCAATCTTCCGACCACAATCCGTCAAGCACAAAGCAGTAATGGGACCTTGATGCGTGACAACAACACAAACAAGCTCCCATGGCACGTGGAAGATTGATGGTTTGCCAATGTTACTTCTCCAAAGTTTCAAACTACCATCAGCAGAGCCAGTAGCCATAACATATGCAGGGGTATATGGTTCACCCAAAGAAGCTAATTTTTGCAGCACCGGAACAAAAGTTCCTTGGTGCACCACGGCAAAACTTGTAATCTGGTCATGAATTTGAGAATTGGGTAACTGTGATGAGCAAGGGATTATACTAACACAATACTTTTTGCTTCCAAAAGGACTTTCAAATCTCAATATGCTGTCAGCTATATTTTCACTTTCAATATCACAATTGCAATGTATTCCAGTCCCAGAGATATCATAAGCATGTAGGGTGATTTCCCATGATAATGCCTGAAACCCTTTCATCCATATCCCCAATAACATAAATTTATTGAATTTATAAGTCATATTACAATTAGAGGGAAAAGAAATGGAAAATATATTAGTCGGACCATTCTCAAAAGGACCATGACCAGTGAAAGGTATGGTACATAAGTAGTGACAGTCAGTATTTTCTTCATCACTTTGGCTAATCCTAACTGCAAAAAAGTCAATTCCTCTTGCATGTCCCATGAGAAGAATCAGTTCTCCATCCAAGATTGATGGTGCCCACTGCACACTTGTATATTTGGAGCATGAATCTTGAGTTATAAGTTTTCCACAAAGTTCCCAGCTAGGAGTAAGTGTCGGAGAGCCTAGTACGCAATTGGAGATACTAGATAGTGACCAGAAAAGAACCAAGCCATTAGAATCCAAGGAGGCAGCTATCTCGGCCTCACAGTTGTATGGATGGACAGCAACGTGTAAGATTTTTCCATCGTGACCACTTAAATTCAATTGACTAGTAGCTGAACACGAGGACGAATTTTCTAACCTGTTTTTGTCAAAGGATGCATCCCCTGTGTCAGTTGATGTGGGAGCAGATAAAAGCGACCACACCAAGGAATTACAAGGCAATAACTGAATCAAAGAGCACATACTTGGGGGACCAGTCGGATGAATCCTTGAGATCACAACTTTCTTGAGGAGAATATTGTTACTCAAGTTTGTACAACCATCCATGTAATGACGTCCCACTTCAAATCCTTTGAGCTCTTGCTTCTTCCACAACGTGACTCGAGGGAATCTCAATGGGGATATGTCATCGAGACAATGAACAGCCCAGAAAGTAACCGATGATCCTGGACCCAAGCTAATTAGCCACTCGCAGTTTCCAACGCTGTTGTGTTCGAGTCCTATTGAGGAGTAAACTTTCTTAGCCACTTCAAAAGGTTTGCACATACCTCTGATCTCGGTCGCCCATGTTACAAATAAATCCATGCCAAGAGTTCCATTCAATGCCTGATTTATCTCTATGACGGCAGCAACAGAAAAGTGCCTTTTCATTGACATTTTATTATTTATATCCTTACTAAATTTTCTGGCTTTTCCATTTTCAGTCTCACTCCACAATCTCACAGTTCCATCCAAGCAGCATGTCAGAAGCACATGTCTTGGTGTATTCTTGACACTTTCAGGCGCTTTAATTGAAGGCCTCCATTGAATTATAGTTATGGGTAGAGGATGGGATAACTCGCTTTTCACATGTCCATACTCCCCTTCGCTCTGACTTACCAGCACAGTGCTAGCTTTTTCAATCAACACGCTTTCCATCTTCGATATC